TGCATTTCACCGTAAGCTCGGGTGGGTCTTTGTTCAGAAAACCTAGGTCAGATCCTGGACCCGAAGCACACTGGATCTGTCTGTTCCCGGGCTTCAAAGGAGTTCAGGTCTCAGTTCAAGCTTTTCCTCACTAGTTGAAATTGTCACTCCATGAGGTCCCTAAAATTGCAGCCTGTATCTTATGCACAAAACTGCTTCACCGCAGATACAGTTTATTCTTCAGTTTGGCAACAGATTTGTACTTGCACGTCCTACGCTCCCATCATCACCGACTCAGGCTGAACTGCCTCAGCTCTGCTTTATCTCTGTATTATTCACCATGAAAGTGCAGGTTATGGAATGAAACATCCGTCTTTTTGAAACTGCAAATGTAATTGTACATTTAAGTGCAAATTTGAGGAAATGGCTATGGGCGTTATTTGCCATATAGGTTCCACTAATGGCAAATATTGATGTCTAAAAAGCAAGAGAAAGTTCCCACAAGAAGGAGAAATTGTATTCAATATAGTGTAAGGATTAGTTTTCTGAACTGATAATTGCTTTGAAATGTGAATGCGAACCGTGGTTTGCATTTTGCCTTAGATGAAATAACCAGTTTTCTTATCCAGGTATTCCAGGCCTGTCTCTATTACTCATTTTTGGAGTTCGGCGCCACGAGCAACTTGGGTGGAGATTTCTGTGGAAAGGGTGCAACAAAGAAGTCTTCGTCTTAAAAAGATCATCACATACCAAAAAAACCCCACCAGTTCAATTGACTGTTATTCTGCCTCAGCGATGTCTCTCTGCAAGGTTAAACTATTCAAGTCTGGCAGTCTTTCAAGGGTGGAAGTAGGACTTTTTTCAAGCCCAGCAGATGAAAGGCCCCATCTAAGCTCCGTCTTTGGCAGCAGGGTTTGCATTCAGCTCTGAAGCACCCTTGCAAGAGCCACAAATTCCTGTCCCCGAACGGGGAGACTCACCAGAGGGCAGCACAATATCACTTTTTATTGTAAAAGTGGGAGTTAACCATTTCAGCTAAGAGCTTTTTGAAATTAGCTGCTTGTTGTTCCATAGTTACGATTGGAAATAAGTTTCTCTTTAAAGCTAGCCTCTGAAGCAGCTCCGAAGTCCATTATATTAGGCATACATTAAGGTTTTAGTGTCCAGGCGTTCGCCAAGTGGAAGCAGAGGGAGTCCAGACAGTTGTATTTTCAATGTATCTCTCTGCCAGGTTTCTGTCCAGGGCTGGTCTGGGCAGCTGACGGGTGCTTGTCCAGGTTCGAGTATTTCAGAAGCTCTCCTATGTTAAAGGCACCAGCCCAAGTGATTACCATTTCAACCTCATCGTTTGGGAGGCATTAAACAGTAGGAGTAAGTCCTCTGATGGCATTTCATGAGAAGGGTTCACAGAGGGTGAATGTAAGCATGCTTTTTTTGTATTATAATTATATTTACTTCTGGTTGTCCTGTATGCTGAGCAGCTCCTAGGTCCTCTAGCGCTTACGCCAAACTCTCGCTGTTCAAGGAGCTAAGAGGATTCACCGGTCACATCTTGCCTGCTCAGCTTCCCTCACACAGGGCTTCATCTGTCGTCAATCTGTTCCAATTTGTTACTCTATTCTGCTCGCACAGGTAACTGGTGTCTCCAGCAGCTGCCTCCCCTGGTTCAAGTGCCACTGTACTTTTCTGACCTTTTCTGACTTCTTTCTCTCAACTTATAGTCAAAGCTTTGGTATCTGAATTCTTGCTCTTCTGCTGCAGATTAACTACATCTTCTGTCCTTGGTCATTCTCTTTGCTCCATTTGGCTTCTGCCTGGTGGGATGTCTCATGCCTAGCATCAGTCTTGCACTTCACTCCTAGACATTCACATGTAGGTCTCCCTCAACTCTCTCCCTCTGATCTTATGCCTTTTTAAGCTCAGTCTCAACTCTGTCTGCTCCTGCTCATCCCAACACTTCCTAACTCTGTAGTGAAGTCTTCAAAGCAGCAGCTTTTCCATGGGGCTGCTCCCCATGCATCCTTAGCTTTCCTTAGTTCAAATATTATCTTTACTTAAAGACCAGCAGCCTTAAGAATATATGTGTAGAATAAAAGAATAACTTTTCCTACCGTATTAGCTTTTGGTACATTACTTAGTCTTCTGAGAGGAGTGTAGTATTGTTCTTCAGAGTAAGTATAAAATCATGAACTTAGTAGTAGAAATAATTTAAATTATATCTTTCAAGACAACGTTGTGTCTGCTTTAAAAAAAACTAAACATGATTCTGTTTTAGGAAAAAAGAAAAATATTTTGAAATCCCTGTTCTTTTTCTTATGTTTTTCTGTGCCAAATATATTTAAAAAAAAAAAAAAAGTTTCTTTTTCATTTGCATTCTCTCTTTTTATTTATGGGGAAAACTAAGGAAGAAAAGACAACAAAAATACTGAAAAAAGATTTGATTCAGTTTTCATTTTTTTTTCAAATTTCATTTTCATTTCATCCTTTTTTCCACAGAAGGAAGAAAACTAGTATTTTTTAAAGGCAAAAGGATGGGAAAAAAAAGAAGGTAAAAGATCTTTTAAGAATAATTTTTCAAAGCTTTAACAGGGCAGAAAATGTCTTTGAAACTTCTTAAAAAATAGAAGTTGAAAAGAAAATTACTTTCTATTCAAAACACTTAACAAAGGTTTGGAACTAGTGAAGGCAGCTGGTGCAGTGGGCTTTGTAGTGTTTTCTAAATGAGGACAGTCCATCACCTCTACAGGAATCCATCCCAGTGCACGGTGTCCTTGCACCTAATCAGAGAGGTCTTTGTGGGCATCACACCACGTTTTCTCCTGACTAAGTCTGATTCTGCTTCTCTTAAGGTCTCTCCATTTCACAGTCAGTGATGTGACTATGACTCAGTGTAGAAATAACCCGAGTTTTGCTTTAAAATAGGGATGAGGCAGGGCTGTATCAGATTCACATCTGCAATATACATCATTTTTAGAGTGGTCTGCTATTGCTTTTAAATGTTTAATTTTTCAAGCTCTGCCAAGATAACCACAGAGGCACATTGCTCGGCAGCAGTCATCCCCAAAGAGCAGTGGCTCTTTGGTGTCGGTGCTCAAGGCTGCCAGTAAGCCATATCTGTGCTTTGGCAAGGTGTGCGACACCTGCTCTTCCCATCCTGTGGATCTGTGAGTTTGGAGAAGTTACAGATTATCTGGCTTTTGTATAACTTGGCCAAACTAGAAATGTTTAACTATACTCTGAAGTTTGTCTTTCCAGGATTGGCAACTTTTCCCATCTTTTGTTTGTTTCTTCCCATTTCAAGTTATTGCAATGCCATTAATATCTAAAAGGAAAAAAAAAAGCTTTTATCCACCATGGATAAATTAGTAAGAATTGGTTCTTCTTGGAAGGTGTCCAGAAGTCTGATCCTGCATGGTAGGAACTAATGAGCCCATTTTATGTAAGGACAGAAATGTTACTTGTAAGAGCTACCCAGTCACATAGCTTAGTTATTAACTTTCTTCTGCTGACTCACCAGATTTCCTTTGACGTGAATGGCCGTTTTCTGGAAATTAATATTTTTTCTCATGAGATTTTAATAACAAAATGGTGACATGGTGTTTTTTGATAGTTATGATAGCAGTACCTAATTGAATTTGCTATTACAAAGTGTGCTTCTGCTGCAAAGAAAGAAAATGTATATGTACATACATATTTCATATATAAAATATATATATGAAAATATATGCATAAAATTAAAGTAAGTCTTAGTGGCTTTAGCCATTAATCAATGTTATGTTTGTGCTGCTTTTTCATTCCCAAGTAATAACTGCTCGTTTCTTAGCCATTTTATTCTATTTCAGTGTTTATCAATCTTGAAGGCTGGCTGAAGGCCTGTAAATAGACTTTGCATAACCTATTCCTAAATTACAGAGAAATTGATATCTTCAGCAGTGCAGAATGAAAGACTTCTTTTTAATTTTACCATGTCAACAATGTACTACATTAAAAATATGTATAAAATTTTAGAATATATTGTATATCAAAACTTCTATATCGTAAATAGTGTTTACCCGGGATGTTTCTCCAGGGGCTGCTGTGCTATAGCAAAAGTTGTGTTTATCCAAGTTCTTAAAAACCACACTGTCTGCTTTTCTCATTAGTTGTTTTCTTAGACTCAGGAGGCGAGAAGCAAAAAAAGAAAGTTCAGTATTATTACTCTCCAGACATACTATTAAGAAAATAAGCATTTTACATAGAAATAAGATTAGATCTGATCCACTGTGAGAAAGGTTTTTGTGGTATTCCTTTCAAAGACGTACCTAGCTTATTTGTCGCTGTACTTTAAGCACTGAATCACGTGCAGGCAGGAGACACTGAGAGGGAAGGAGGTGAATGCCTGCTGCAGCTCTCTTTTTGGCTTGTTAACTCTACAGAAGTTGTAGTTGGTTTTGAAAGCTCACTTTTCAATGCAGTTAACAAATATCACTGCAAAATAGACTACTC